AGGTTGACCCTATGTGTGTTACTCATTAGCTTAAACCAAGAGAGGTTTGGTCTCGGAAAAAGCTGTGTGTCTTTTTATTTGATGTATGTAAACTTCTGGTTTCAACTGTACATTAACAAATGTAACCTGAGAATGGCCTGTCAACAGAAATAAACTAAAACTAACACTGAGCTCACCATAAAAGCATTGGAAACAGGATAGGGACAGGCTCAGAGGAAGAATGAAAAAACTTTTTTGATGGAAAGATGCAGCCGTATGGGAGAGTGAAGTTCAATCTCCAACTCATTAATTGAAGCGCAATATTTTTCTCATACTGATACTTTCAGAAAAGTTGTTCATTTGAGGTTGAAAATGAATATTTTAAAATAAAAAGTGACTGAGCCAAGACTTTTCTTTTGTCGGCATCTTGTTCTTCTCTAAAATGGCATCAGTACTAGTCTGATTGTGAACTCTCTTCTTAAAGGGCCCATTAAACTTCCTTCTCAGTCTCAAAATGAACCACTCCCCAGTCTCACTTCATAACAATGCGATGCTGGCCACTCGACCACAATCCTGCAGGGTCACATCATCCACCCAAGACTGAGCCTCGGCCTCTTGGTCTCATCACCGCTGAGATAATGAGTGTGGAGAAAGGTTTTGTTTTACCCCGGAGGACTCCCAGTGCAGCTGACATGGCTGCAGGTATGTGCAGCTGTTGTCTGTGCTGGCCTGCAGACAGGAGGGCTCATATAGGCTCAAATGAGAGCCAAATTGCCACCAGCTTCATATTTTCCTTAAATAAACCTTTATGATGTTGGCAAAGGCAATCTGATAGCAAGACTGTTTGTTCCTATCTTTGTTTTTTTCTATCTGTGACTCCTTTTGTCTTTGGCTGAAGTAGATGAGAACTGCCCTCAGGTGATAATTAACTGCTGACAGCCCTTCCCCTTTTTACCACAGGTTAGATTAATGATGTGATATCCCGTAACACAAAGCAACATGGCCAGAAGGCAGAGTCAGGAGAGATTGATGGATTGGATATAATAAATATCACAAGGTGAAGACATTGGTCTTGCCTCCATTGATACTAAGAGGTTGTAAACAGTGCGGACAACCCCAAAGGGCCATGTGGGCAAGTTTAATAGGGAAGTGCCTGACCTCTAAGTGATCCATCTTTAGCAGAAAGTGGCAGCGGGACATCTGTGTTGGTGCATGGCAGGAAAGGAATAGGGGGAGAGGTTGGGCGGCGATCGTTGGAGATGGCACCGAACAAGGCGCGGGGATTAAAAGTGCGTTCATTCTGAACTATTCCAGGGACAAGAATCTGTTTCCCAAGAGACCCACAGACGACCATTCCTAATGTTGACTTGGGTGCCTAAAACAACGGCGCAGGCCCTCCCCCCTTCCTTCCTTCCTCAGCTGTTCAGATTCATTTAAAGAACAATAGTTTTCCACTCATTTATCTGCTGGTTTGGTAGCTATTTTTGGGAAGGATTTGTTGCAGGCTTTACTTTGCCTAATTTCTCCAAACAACTTTAAGGTACAGACAATTCTTTACAATTACCATGAAACTTATTGGGATCTTGCTCAGCTTCTCAAAAATTGTTCCTGATGAATTTGGACTGGAGCTATTGGTTAACGTCTCGTTTCACCGTGTTTTTCTTTGCTAAATAGAGATCAGGACTGATTCTGCCACAGTAGCCGTTGCCATAATAGAAAAGATGTTCATTGATGGCCAGATTTAGGTGGAAGCTTCTACTTTGAGGTAAAATGATTTGGATCTGGCAGATTTATAGCTGCCATAAGCTGTGTTTCCATTAAAAATGGAGGCAAAACTTGGTCAATGTTCTGCTAATGTTAAAAAAAAAATACACTTTTGCAATTGCTGTGTTTCCATTTTGTTCTTGCGATAAGTCATTAAAAACACCTGTCATGTCATCATCCTCCTACCACTTTCTGTCGTTTTCTTTGTGGTTTGCACCTGTTGCAACATCTGATTGTTGTTGATCTGGTTTTTGCAAAATAAACCAATTTCAATACGGCCAAAAACCCGCCACCAGTTTTTCTTGTATTAAATTGCCATGTTTCCATTTAGCAAATTTATTTTTGAAATGTCAAATTGAGCAGTTATACGGTCAATGGATCGCAGCTATTGACTAAAACCTGGAGGAAAGTCAACCTGTTGTAAATGATTCGTCTCCAAGAACCAGATATTTTAAACCGTGTAAAGTTCGATCTATAGAAAAGCTTCTAAAGATCTTTAGTAGAACAAGAAAATCTTAATGAATATCCTGATCTATCCTTTTGAGATGCCAGTTAAATGGTAATGGAAATGTGTTAGAATCATCCATTTCTCACCTTTAGTGATGCCTCACTGCGGTCAAATTATTAAACAAAGCCTTACTTTCAATGTCTGTGTTTCGGCTAAATCTGGACAGAGGTTATGGGCAAAAACTCTAAACACGGAAAAGCACCAGCCAATCTCAAATAGCCATTAAAACTTGCATCCTTTTACCCAAACACTAAACAATACATTCAAGTTATTCTATATGTGCTTGAGTGGCCATAGACCTGGAGACGGCTTTGCTAGCGAGGAGTTATCGAGGCGTAATGCCTATGATGACAGACACAAGCAGTGTGCTGATGGACATGAAGGTACAGATGAAAATGGGTTTGCTGGGCGGGACAAAAGGTGGGCAGTGATGCTGTGGTTGGTTGAATTTGGGTGTGCAGGGGGACGGTCTCGATGGACAAAATAGGCCGTTTCTGCTTGGCTACACAAGTCATCAGGAAGGCATTTAGAGAATCTGTCCCTTGTTTGGCTTCTTTAAATTCAAATTGCATCATCCTTCCTGAGACGCTTGCTTCACCACATTCCTGCGCCGCTCTCCATCATCGGATCTTTCTCCAGCCTGGGTGCAACAACACTACCCATCCACACACCTCGGGTCAATTCTTGCACCAAAGATGGCAGAGACACACATGCATCAGTAATACAATACCTCTGTCAAAGTCACTTTGAGGATTCCTGTGTACGAGCTGGCAGGCAAGCCGCAAAGTGATGGATCCCCTGCAGTGAGAAGCAACTGTCCCTGCTCCCTCAAAGACGTATTAATAGAAATAAATTCTCCGTTTGCATCCCAGGTCCATACTCTATTCAACACGTTACTTTTTCACCCAGAATTTGGTTGAAACCAGCAGAGCAGCAGGTGTGATTTGGACTTTTTTAATGCATGAAGGCAGCTTATAATCAGGACTCCTACCTTTCTTTGTTGGCTCTGGCATCTTGAGCCGGCTTGCAAGAAAACTTTAGATTTCTGCAGGTAGATGCAGTCAGTGGGTGTGACTTTAAGTCTTTGGACTCGCCTTAGTCCAGGTAAACAAACTGATGATGATGAGAGTTTAAAAGAAATGATGATCCTCTCAAACAGCAGCTGATGAGGATGAGTCTTAGTAGGGGGGAGACTGGAGGACCAGTGGCAGATCCGGGGGGGGACTTGCTTTCAGGGCTTATATTGAGAGGAGGAATGCTCCTCCTCTCCTTGGTGGAGCTCTGTGCTGCAATTATAGCACATTTATTGTGTAAAATAATCAAAATATTACTTGTTTTTTATGTCCTTGGCTCATAAATATCAGATCATCACCTTCCTAAAATAATAATAGTGATTGTTTGTGCCTAAAATATCTTCTTGTTTTTTTTTGTTTTTTTTTTTGCCATAATCACTTTTGGCAAAAAAAGGAAAAAAGTGACTTCGGCCATTATTTCAGGAAGCTAAAACCTTAAACAAACGTCTTGTTAAATCCATTAGTTTAAATGACACAATCAATTTAAACAGCAAAGTATTGAAGACGGCTGTTTTTATCTAGTTAGTAAATTTATTTTAAGGTTTTCAGGCTCTTTTCAGGAAGATTAACCAAAATTAAACTATTTTCATCCTCCATTTGTTCAGAATGTGAAATTATCTCTGTCACTTGAGTTCCAGAGATAAGTATTTGCTGATGTTATTGCAGCTGTATTTTAGTTTCATTGAGCTCCTCCTGCTTATTTTGGGGTTATTCCCTTGACAGACGAACTACAATAGCAGGAGGGTGGGATATAAAAGGAAAAGGTGTCGTCATGGTCACAGGTTTCGGGCTGATGTCATTCTCAAACGAAGTGCAGCACATTCAGGGAATCTGTTGATTTATATTGAAAGAAAAGTTAAACATGACAAGCAGGGAGCTGGTGCAGATTCCAGACATCGATTTAATCCAGGTGGAATGCTTGCCAAGAACAGCAGGCTTACCGACCCAGAGAATAAATACAGGGGAGATGCCTGGAGGGAGGCAAAATGCTCTATACTTAGAAAGCCATCATAAACCTTGACATTTGACACGTGCATGTGGAGAATTTTATTGTGAATTATAATAGTCCTGCTTGAACCATTTGGCTCATCAAACTTAAATGATATGTCAGGTCTGTGCTTTGATGGGGTTGAAGAGAGATTAAATGCCACAGCTGCAGGAAACGACCGACAATAAGCCCAGAACTCTGCAGTTCAACAGGAGTGCTCAAACGTCTGGAGGGACTCTAACTCCAACAAAGTTGCTTTTGATTAAATTTGTTGGGTCAATTCTTTGCAGAACTGCACTTTGCTGCAAATGCAGCTTCAAGTCTTGCTGTATTTGGCAGATTTGAACATCAATAGATTGAGTTCTTTTAATTCAAGCCCAGTCTGCTGTAAACAAATCTTCAGTTTTATTTAGTTCTGGGTTTTTATGGTTGTTGTCTTGATGGAAGTTGAACAACTGCCCCAGTCTCTAGATTTTTGCAGCCTCTAACTGTTTGCTTTTTTCTGGTTTTACTGAATCTTATTCAGGTGAATCCAAATGCAGGCCACACTATTCAGATTTTACATTGTAAACTTTGTATCTCTTCCTTCCACTTTACAGTTATTCTTTACTTCATACAAATACATAAATGTTTGTGGTTATAATGTGAGAAAATGTTGGAAAAACTTTTGTAATTTCATTTTTTTCAGACTTCCACTTTTGCGTTTGTGGATATGGGGAAGTGGGCCTGACGCTGGCATATCCAATTGGTAATTCGTACAACATAAGAAGAAACCGAAACATGAAGGAGCAGCTTTGAGAAGGACTACACTGACACCCTCTGGCTTATAAGGTACGTGTCGACTTCCTCCACATTACATCCAGCTGAGAGCAAAACATCAACTAACAGGCTTCAAAAATAAAAACAGGTTTGGATTCAAACCTCAGAGACTTTCTGTGCAAACACAATAATCAGAGGAAATCATTCAGTCACATTAAGTGAAACACTGTTAATGCTACCAGGTGGCTTTAACAGGATTTCTATTGCAAACAAAACATTTTACCCATATTTTAAGAAAAATAAACTGGTACAAGTAGTTTTTCATCAATTTTAAGGAATTATTGACTTGAATCAATCTCCCACTCCTAACTGAAAAGTTACTTCTGCGTTAATTTTGTCTTATTTTAAGTGTACTAAGATATTTGGACTAGAAACTAGACCAAAAATACTTGGTAATATTTTCAGGTTTTGCAGTGCAACACAGTTGATTGTTTTATTTTGTGAATCTAAATGCGCTGGTTGACCTTTGATGACCTCTAGAAACATTTATTCATATCCTTAAAATGATAATGTCTTGAGTAAAAATTTTGTTTAATTGAAAGAAACTGGGGTTCCCAATTTCACTCAGTTTAATGTCAGTGTGGGTGCACTGTAAAAACACAGAATCTTACCAAATATATTTTGTCTAATTTCTAGAGCAAGATATCGGAGCTTGTTTTAAGTCACTAATTCCTTAATACTGATTAAAAAGTACTGATTAATTTGCAGGTTATTTCACTTACAACATAAGAAAATGTCTTATTATAAATGAAATAATTTGACAGCAGAATTAGCGCTTTAAGATTAAGAAATTATTTACTTAAAAGAAGTTGATACTTTTTGCTGAAAAGTTACTTGTAAGTTAGTTTTGTCTTATTTCAAGTGAACTAAAATAGTTGCCAAAAGTACTTGGTAAGACTTTGTGTTTTTGCATTGCACTTCAGTCATTTCATCATGATGTATTTCTGCTTCCTTTAGTGCACTTAAAATAAGACAAAATTAACTTATAAGTAACTTTTCAAAAAGATTAAAGACCTTCTTTTAAGTCAGCAATTCTTTAACATTCGTGAAAAAGTTCCACTAATGAAATCTTTAACTTAAAATAAGACATTTTCATCAATATTAAGGAGTTATTTACTTAAATCAAGCTTGCATATCTTGCTGAAGAGTTATTTGTAAGTCAGCTTTGTTATTTCAAGTGTACCAAGATATTTGCAATACAACCTAAGATTGTGTTGTTGCATTGTGTATGTAAATATCTTAGCCTGTGTATAATTTTGAAAATACACAACAAATTTAAACTTCCATCCATCCATCCATCCATCCATCCATCCATCCATCCATCCATCCATCCATCCATTTTCTTCCGCTTATCCGGGGTCGGGTCGCGAGGGCAGCACCTTCAGCTTCAGCTTGGACAAATTTAAACTTGTTCAAGTAATTTCTAGAAAAAGAACTGTTCATTAACACCCATGTTGGTTGTGTTCATCATGTGTTTTAAGAGAGGAAGTACAGCAAAGTGTACTTAAACGATAAATTTAACGTGACAGCAAGTTTTTATTTAGTTCTGTATTTACACCACAGTGAAATGTGAAAAGAGAGAGTGTACAGTAGATCTACGGATCTCCTCCATGGCCTTTCTGCAGCGATGTCAGCGTGTCCCGGCTGAACTGGTAGGTGAGTTTTTTCTTCACTTTGAAGATGTGACCCGACCGGGCGTAGTTCCTCAGAGCGCGGGACATCTTCTGGTACGTCATGGGCCTCTTGTTGCCCTTCCTCTGGCCCCAGAGCGCCGCCACCTGGTCCTTGTTCCTGGAGGAGAAGCTGAACACGCCGGGCGGCGCCGGCGCCCAGGACAGGCAGTGGGCCATGCTTGGGTCCTGCAGCATCTCAAACAGGAAGTGGAAGAGCCGCAGCCTTCTGCCTGCAGGTGTTGAGCAAACCGTGAGCGGCACACGTGACGAAAGGGGATTTAAAGGGGAGAGGTTTAATAGAAAATTCATAGCAGTTAATGCTGGTTACAGTTAATCATTCCATCAACTACATCCATTCCCAGAAAATCTCTTAAGAGATCATAGATCTGCATGTCAGTGGCCAGGACTTGTAAACACTGCGGTTATCTGATAGATATGTAAAATAAGCTAGTGCGCTAAGCCAAGCACAGCTCCATTGTCTTTTACAGTAAAGGGCAGGTCTCTTATTTGCTCTCTTGGTATTATTTCCCCCAGGCTAATAGCAACTGTGACAATAACAGCATCTAATGACCAGAAAAAAAAGGAGAACTCACCCCTCCCTGCTGCAGCGGCCGGGTGTTTGGATGATTGTCTCGCTGAAACAAAGTTTGGCACTGACCCACGCTCAGACAATGTCGCTGTTGTGTTTTGGCCAAAGACGGCTCGGGCATCATGGTTTAGGAAGGTCTGGAACACAGGTTTGACGTCCTGTGATGGAGTCAGAAAATGAAAATGTCAACAAAAAACTCATTTAATTAATTAATTTTGTTCAAAAAGTGCAGCTTGCATAGATTCCTTACACACAGACTGATTGATTTAATTTATTTTTGTTAACTACTGAAAGCACAATTTCAAAATTGTGTTGTTTTTTGACATTAGCTAAGTCTAGGCACATTTGTAGTGGAAACACAACCAATGACAACTTCTGCATTTCTCCACTTTTCCTCCAGTCTTGAAGGCCTTCAGAGTTAAAAGCAGAAATTACTTCCACCTAAAAAAAGCTGTGCTTTGAACATCTGAACAACATTTCAGGCCTTTTTTCCCCCCTGAGATTAAATCAGACATTCAACCTGCACCAACCTACACTTTTTCCTTCCACTAAATTTCCTGTTAAACTCTGGGATACTGCCATCTTAAGATTTAATAGGGCCTTGCGTAAGATTTCTGTATAAAATTTTTTTTTTTAATGTAATATTCAGATTCTTGGTTTTTCATAGGCTGTTAGTTCAAATTGTCAAAATTCATTGTGACTACACATAAATTTTCCTTTCTAAACTAAATTACTAAACTAAATTAACATTTTATTCATATTATATTTAGGTGCCCCTGTGAAAAGACTTCTAGTTTAATTTGTTGAACATTAACAGGGAAACAAACGCGTGCGTGCGTGCGTGCGTGCGCTTACAGATGCATCATGGTATGCCCAGTTTTCATCACAGGTTTGACCCACAGCCACATCTCCTCCATGCACAGACTCAACTGAAACACAAGATTCATTTTCTGCTGGGAAAAAAAAAAAGTAAAAACAAAATCAGTTGAAATTGTTTATTAAAATTAACCTCTAGTTGTTTTTCGTACCATTTTCTGGAATGCTTTGTCTGTAGTATTCCTCCAGAAACTCTAAAATCACTTCCAAGTCCGACTGGGTGTCCTGGAAAGAATTCTGATACAGTTTTAAAGTTAATATTAGGACATAATTAATGCAGTTAAAGTGAAGCATGTGTGCTCTTTACCATCACCGATGAATATCTGGCGTAGTTTAGTCTTTGCAGTTTCACCCAGGTGACTCTGAGACTCGCAGCCCTTCTTATACCCTCCCATGTTAGCACACCACCAAACGTCTCCTGCAGCCTGAACTCCCTGAAACAATGACCAGCGATCCCACAAAGCCCCACCAGGCATCTCACCGACACTGACCACATCCTCCCCGCTGGAGCAGATAAGACCCAGAACGGGAGGCAGCCTTAACGCAGCGCTCCGATTTCAGGAGAAAAAAGAAAACACCACGGCTGGCACACTTTTCCTCAGGATGTGTCTAAATTTTTATGTTTTCTGTTGTAATAATTCATTCATGGAGGAAGAAAACGCAGCGATGCAGGTTTTTTTTCTTCTTTTTTGCAGAACATTTATTAAAACATTTAAAATACATGTTTTTATTAGCAAGTTGTTTTTACAAATCAACTACAAAATAAATTGTGTAATTCTATTACATTTATTCCACCATTTTCAAACATATTTCAATATAATTTTAATGATTTTCAACAAGGATTAAAGCTTGAATAGCTTAATTGTCAAATTAGGTATTTTTCCTCAGGATGTGTCTGAGTTTTTATTTATTCTGCGTGGCTTTTGTAATAATTCATCACAGATGAAAAGTTTAGAAAGAAATAAAGAAAGCATAGGGATGCAGTTTTTTTTTTCCAAATGTAAAACATTTATTGAAACAATTAAAAAAATATTTTCATCAACAAATCGTTGTTGCAAATAAATAAGCTTTTTTAATTAATGGTTGAATTCTAATATATTTATTCCACAGTTAGATATTTTAGGCTAAATTTTTCCTATTTTTAATTTTTTTTAAAGATTTCAATAAGAATTAAACCTTGAGTTCAAATTATATAGATGCAAAGCTTATTTTTATTGTTTAAAAGTGATGATTTGATGCCCTGCAGGAGATTTACAGATAATCTTTTTATCTAATCCTCTGTTAGGTGATTTTATTAAATGCCACTGGAAATTTTAAAAGGTCAGCTCAGTAATAATAATACAATGCACTCCTTACAGTCTTCAATAACTTGCATGAACAGAGCTGTTTTCCACTATTAAATTAGTATAACTGCGTAAATAAGCAAAATATCAAATAAAATACTCAGTTATCAAAACAGTTTTGAGAGAAAAATGTATTTTTCTTCATGTAGAACAAAACAGCTCAGATAAAAAAGACTTCAAAATAAGGACGCATATCAAAACGAGAACATAATTTTTACTTCAATTTCAACATCATTTTTGACAATATTTACAGATTATTTACAGAAACTGCTGAAATGACTGGACCACATCGCGTGCTGCTTTTAGCTGATCATCCACAGAACATTTAGGTGCAACATGCAGACGAGTCTTTTAGAGAATCCCTCCAAACGACAAAACGTTTTCAGGATCTGCTGCCTGTCGGCTCACAGTTTGGCTGAGCTGTGTGAGGTGAAGCTCGCCGCCAGGTCGTAGTCTTCCTGAAGCTGGTAGTGTCCGTACCAGCCGTGCCAGTCTGCCGCCGCCGCCGACCCGGGGTAGCTCTGCTCGGACGGGCTTTCCTGCCGACTGTGGGCGTCGTCCTGCGCAGATGGGCGCTGCAGGTGCATGGGTACCTGGGCCGAACCGAGCCTGTGCAGGATGTCTGGGTTGAACTGGTAGGTGAGCTTGCGGCGGACTTTGACGATCTCGCCGGTGCGGCTGTAGTTCCTCAGGGCTCTTGCCATCTTCTGGTAGGTCATGGTTTTGCGGTTGCCCTTGCGCTGGCCCCAGCACTCGGCCAGCTTCTCTTTGTTCTTAGAGATGAAGTGGAACGTGCCGCTGCTGCTGTCCGTCCACTGTATCGAGTCGCCCATGTTGGGGTCGTTCAGGGCTTCATGGAGATACTCGTACAACCTCAGCTTCTTACGTCCTGCCAACATGGATTTTACACCCGTTTAGTGCTGATTAAAAATCAAAAGTTGCTGTCTTACACTTTAAAAATGCAAAAATCTTAACAATTTCTAGTCCATATGACTTAGTACACTTAAGAAAAAAGACAAAACTGAGTTAAAAATAGCTTTCCAGTAAGATATAAGAGCTTGTTTTAAGTTAATAACTCCTTAATATTGATGAAAAAGTTACTTGTAAGTTAGTTTTGTGCAAAGACATTTGCATTAGAAACTAGAAGGAAAAAATGTCACCTTTCTAAAATAATCGCCCAGTGTGATTTTGGAAAAAGAAAAAAAATCACTACTTTTTTCTTTCCAAAAGATGATTTAATAAAAAAAACAAAAACAAAAAAACATTTTTTCTATTTTTTTTTTTTGTTGCCTAAACTAAAACATTTTAGGATGATGACAAAATCCTTGGTAAGATTTAGTGTTTTTGCAGATTATAAGCCTCAACATGAAATCACCTTTGCTGTTCCTCTGCGGTGGGATGACGGAGTAGAAATGCGGCGAATCGTTCTGCACCGAGTGGCTCAAAGAGACGTCGGGGATGACCTGAGGCCAGGAGTGCTGCTAAGAGATTCAAGATTAAGTGTTAAAATTGAGACTGAAGTTCATTGTTTTCCAAAAGGCAGGTGCTTTGTAACACTTACAGCCATTTCGCTCCAGTCGTAGCCTACAGCTGGGATGTCAGATTGGTGTGCGAAGACGTGGTAGGACATCTGAACCTGCAGAGACGACGGCTGGCTGCCCAGCGTCTCGAAATATTTGCACTCTGGAAGAGGAAGTTTAAAATTATGTTCATCGAACATGTTTTCGATCTCTTGAGATGTAACAGGACGTACCTGGATCGTAGTATGCGTTGTGTGAATGCTGCTGGATCACATCTATTGCATCCTGAAAGTGTTGGTTGATATCAGGGTCTAAAGACATCTGGAAAAAAACAACTGAGAAATCAGGCTTAAAATAGAAAAAAGTTGAGTAAATTACCATCCTGGTTGCGTATGTAGAGGATTCTTACAACTCACCATCTTATAGGTCGGAGTGTTTCCCTCAGAGGAGGCCATTTCTGTCCTAATAAAGCGAATGGTGCAGGTACACATCTTGCACAGGTATATATACGTGACGCAGAACTCCAGCACCTCCGCCACATTCATAGGCAGAGCGGCAGGTCAATTTAAATGCGTTAATGTCGCACACTTCTTCTTTCCTGGTAGCACAGATAATGCTGAGCATTTCTCTCCCCCCCCGGATTGCCAAGATCACAATCTACAAACAACAAAAAGCTCTTTTCTGTGCAAACTTAAGCCAGGAATACCACTAATTTGCAGCCTGACCAAAGAATTTGCATACAGGGCGCTTGACATATATCTAATATACACATCTGCGTTTAAAGCTGCAGGTTAAGGACTGAGTTTCTCATATTTTCTTGAGTTTCCTTCAAATGTGTGGATTGTTCACTTTCAATTATCAGCTTTATTTTACACAAAATGCTGCTTTCGACATCGACCTGCAGCGCTTAGGCCGAAAATGAGGCAATAAAAGTCGAGACTAATTAAACACCCAATTTACCTGAACACTATAAACACTTCTGGTCGTGATTGTATAAGTTAATGGTTAATGCTGCGCTGGCTACTGCAGGGCCGACTCGCGTCTTTCTTTGCCCAACAGAGTCCGCCCTGCTGTTCAAATAAACAGTCCTTTTTTTGAGAAGTTAATTTATCTCTCTCTACTGCAGTTTTAAATATCAACTGACTCGTTCCTGAAGTTCCCCTTTTGGCCCGGAGCGCTTCGCGGCACACACCGCTTAGACAAAAGAGTCGGACACGCTTGGATTAATGCGTGAATTAAAGGTTACATAACCGGCTTTCCCCGCATTACTTCACAAGAGTGTGAAGGGATTTGTATTAATAAATGTTGAGATTTTCACTCTTTAAGCTGGTTTTTCTCTGTTAATTTCAAGCAATAAATACACAGTGTCACAGGAAATGACCATGTTGTCTGGAAGCATGCAAACCTGCGTGTGTGTGTGTGTGTGTGTGTGCGTGTGTGTGTGTGTGTGTGTGTGTGTAATTAGACGTGTGTTTCCTGCCGGTGCAACAGGCTGATAAAAACAAAGAACCACAAACCTTTTCGCCCTCTCCCACTCCGTCTTTCCCTGCTCCCATTCAGGGTGAAGCTCCATAAATTAGAGACCACAAGCTGTCGGCCTGCAGCTGAAGCCGATGCTTGGTTACTTTCTTTAAATAACCCGTTGTTCAAATATCCCACTTATCTAAAAAATAATCCTGAATTTCAAATATTTTTTGCAAAAAAAAAAAAAAAAAACGTTTACTTGATTTTGCTGTAATTTACTGCATTATTTGCAATATATTGATGCATTTTTATACAAAAAATAATTTATTTATAACTATTTATGCAACTCCTCCTATTTAGTTGACATATTGTTCAAATATTCTCTTTTTCTAAAAAATAGTCACGGATTTCACAACTGTTTTTCATAAAAAAAAATTTAAGAACTATTTTATAAATTTACTGCATTTTTATGTAAAAAGGCATTTATTTGCAACTATTTGTGCAGCTTCTTCCATTGAAATGATGTCATATTAACCATTGTTCCCACTCATCTAAACACAATTATCCAGAAATTCACACCTTTTTTGGAAAAAAAAATCAACTCAGTTTTAAGAACACTGTTTCATAAATTTGCTGTATTTTCTAAATTTTTATGCAAACCAGCATTTGTTTACAGCTATTTGTGTTTCTTCTTCTTCTGTATATTAATTGCTGGTAGAGATGTGTCTCATATGGTGTTTTGTAAGAGGAAACATGAGATGACGTCATTTCCTCCAGAGATGAAATCATCAAGTCACAGTCCGTAAATGCAGAATGCTTCAGCAACAGTTCATTTTGTGGACATTCGTTAACTGTTTTGAGGTCCTGCTCTTCTCAGTTTTAGATCTGGACTTTGACTAGACCACCTTGACCTTTTGTTGTAGATCAGCTGAAGAGTTTGGATCTTTGACAGTTGAAATTAGATTTGCTGTCGATTCTTTTTCTGAGCCTTTCATGCTGCTTTGGGCATTTCTTTGTGACTTGATGGCAGGAAAATCCCCAACTCCTACTTCCACATAGTTGCAGATTATTGATTGAGAATATGTGTTGAGTTGATTATTAGCACTTGTGTGCCTTTTTCCTAGCACTTGTGTGCTTTGTGGCACAAAGCTGCTTCAAAGCGCATACATCCTTTAAAGCAAGATATAGGCGCTTAGTTTTCCCAATAACTATAAATATTTTCCAGCGGTTAATCACAATGAAATTACAAAAATAAAGTTGTTATAATAACAAAGTTGTAGTATAATGAGAATAAATTCATAGTATGAGTCTTAAGTCGTAACATGAGAATAAAGTCAGATTTCAAGAATAAATTCATAATATTGCACCAATGAAGTCATTATGATTTCATAATATGCTATTATAATGAAATCACAATATTTTGTAGATATAAAATATTCCATATTTTATAATATAAAAAAGATATTTATGTACATAATATTAAATATCTTATATTTTATAACTTTGTCCTTTATGCAAAGAGTGAAACATGGTGGTGGCAGCATCATGCTGTGGTGATGGCTTTTCTTTAGGAACAAGGAAGCTAATAAGAGGTAAATTGAAGAAAAACTGTCAAAGTTGCAATGTAGTGATTCGTATTATAGCATATTCATGTGTTAGAATGGCCTAGTCAAAGTCCATACCCAAAAAGACTTTACTTGCTTTCCACTATAAAAATATCTACTAGTTTGTGTTGATAAAGCGTACAAAATCCCCGAGACCTGGTCAGAACACCCTCGTCATGGTGGTGGCAGCATCATGCTGTGGTCATCCTTTTCTTTATCAGTGATTGATCGACCTGCTATTCTATTACATTTTATGACCAGAGATTATTCAGTAACTTCTTTAAAATTGTTTCAATCAAGTGGTAAATAACGCTCAACTATATAGAAATATAATTAGCTTTTTCACTTTAAAAAGCCACATGTACTGAAAGCACATTTTTGTCCTGTTTTAGTGGAACATCGGTTTGGCATAAACCATTTTCAAAGAGGACTATCATATTTGTGTTTGATCTGCAGCTGTATCTCCGAACAAAGAGGCACTTCCCTTCCCCTTCTCATTTCAATAACTGCGTGCATGTTGGCTGCGGTGTGGGTGCGGCGGGCAAACCACAGCACAGTCAGCCCTATTGTTCTTCTTTATTTACTGGCACTCGATGAAAATCAAGAAGTGTCAAAGCCATTTGTGTGTAATAAGTCTAGTAGGCTGAAAGCTGGTGTAACCGCAGAGTCATAATCATTATCTAGGAGATCAGCGTGTCCTGGATGAGTACACCAGAGAACAACTGATAACCAAGATGCTCGGGTGTGTGTTTATGTTTCTCTGCTACACTATTGTTTATAGTTGAAGTGCAGAGCGCAGAAAGTTTGACACCGTTTCTTGTCTTTTCTCTAATGTTCATTTGAATTGCATGTATTTAACATTTGAACGTCAGCAGTGGCATTTATTTTGGTTAATAATTGGTTTTAATCCTCTTCTTCCAGTGCAAGAATCCTTAATTTTCACAAGTTTTCTATTATATGGACATTCTGGAAATTTTGCACAAAGCTGAAGGGCAAAAAGACGATTTTTTTGCATAGCCACATCGCCGCTGTGGAACACATTTGTTATCAAAATGAAACCTGGACATGTTGGTATTATTAATTCAGTGCAGCTCCACACAGCAAAGTGAAAAATATAACACAAAAAAACCAAAATATTCATATTCTTCTTTTTTCGCATTCTCTGCGTCGCCCACTCTACACACACGCGCGCGCACACACACACACACACACACACACACACACACACACACGCACATATACACCTGTTGCCATAGCAACTGACTGACGGCAGCTCCACTGGTCTATCAGGATTCAACATAAAAAAAACACGCCTTTTTTTAATTTTTTATCTGCACACAAAATTCTGCAGCAGCACATCTACATGTTACGATTGTCCAAGTCAAGCTAGCATAGCTGACCTACTTCCCTGTCCCTCGCTATTTGGTTCTATTTAAAACTTTTTCATGACCTTGTTATCTAGTTGTCGTAATGCTAGGAAAGCTCTACATCCCCTTTTCTGTTATTTATCACATGCATTAAAGATTTAGTGCTTTCTGTTGACAACTTGAAACCAACTGGTAGTCGTCTGTGAGCAGCTTCTTTCATTTCTTCCATTTCTTTGTTTTTCATCAAACTTAGATGTTTCAATTCATCAAACATTTTTTAGTTTCCAGCAAAAAATAAACTGGTGAACTACAAGATGTTGTTTTCACATTGTAATTTGTTAAGGGAAAACATTTACCCAAATCAGTCTGGCCCCATTTAAATAAAAAGTAATTTCACTCTAAAACTAGTATTTTACTTCACTCTGAAGAAATTTAGTTCTCTTCTTTTGCAAGTTTATGTTAACGTTGCCACATTGGAGAGTTTGTTCAGTCACACACCAGCATCTTTACTGAATTTAAGTCCAGACTTTGACTAGACAAACCCATCACTTTTACAAACTGGCTGAAGAGAGAAGTGGAGAAATGGAGGGCAGAAGATAATGTTTCAGGTCTTAAAAGATATTTAGGATAGAAAAATAATATCTGAAAGTGACGTTATTTATCAGAAATCAGATCCAGCATGTGGTGTACCACACAAGCAAACAATCTTTTCAAGCACTAATAAATAATCTGAAAGTCCAGCTGCTCTTTTATTGTATTCTCCATTTGTGTCATTATTCTAACCTGTTTCCCCAAAAGTTAAGAACGATAAACAGTCATGTCTTTAAGAAATAAGAAAACCACAAAGAGCAGCAGCTAAAATTTTGTCAAATTGTATTAGCTTAGGTATTTTTCACAGTGAACTAAGAAAAAACAAAGTAATATTTATGATAAAAGTACTTGAAGATGTAATTTAACATTGGTTGTAAAAAGGAAGTAAATATTAAGAGAATGATTCAACAAAAATCATTCCTTAAAACAGATTTAAAGTACTGCACACACTGTTTCATGGTATTAAGTGTTTTGGACAGAAAATGGGTGACAGACATTGACATAAACTATAAAGAAATGACAGCATCTACTAGTTGTTGTGGGTTTTCTAATAAATTATAATTGTGTTTCGCGTCAAAAAATCAAAATTTTCTCTCTTAGTTTGTGTCTAATCTGTACTTCTCCTCAGCACTTAAATCGAGTGTTTTGAATTTCCTGCTCTGACACCAGGAGCTTCACACACATTTGGTTATCTGTTCCAGTGGTTTCCTACCTGAGGATTTGGATAACGGTTGTTCACTGAACCAACACACAAAGCTGTAGTAAAACTCTAAACTGGGATTTTACCGCTTGTGGTGCCTCATCTGTACTGAATTCACAAGGTGCAGAGGACAGGATTTAAACATCTCTGCTAATTAAATGTATATATGTCTATTGTTTTTTGCTATAATTAAAATATTTGTATTCATTTTAAACATTTTAATAGAAATGCATCCACGTCCCATAAACCTTTGTACGACCTTAAACTTTGGGGATTTTATTACCTAATCCTCCTTTAAACAACTGTTCTCTAAATATGATAAATTCATTCAGAGATTAAATGACACAAGTGGACTCTGTTTACTAGCAAGGGGATTTCCTTCGGTTGCACTGGCTTTTATTTCGGAAAATCAAGTAGAAAAAGAAGATTGTTAAAAAAATCACAGGACACTTTTTCTGATTTTTAATAGTATAAAATGTTACCAGTGTGGTCTGCTTTGTTGTTGCATGTATGGTTGTATTATTATCCCAGTAAAGCACAAAGCAGAATGTAAAGATGTTTTAATGGGTATGATAATTTTGTATGCTTTGTAAACCCAAGAGATTTACATGTTATAGCATTAAACACATGCTACACATTCAGCTGTAATCGGATCCAAAAGGGAAAACATGTTAAATTCATGATCTCCAGATCAGTGGTATCAAACTCATTTCGATTTTGTTCCTTATAAAAATTATGAAGATGCTTAAAGGGCCAGTTGTGCCAGAATGGTTTGATAAAAACCATTAACAATATCAATAAACAGCTGTCTCTGCATTCAAATTAAATCAAATTGAGCATCTTTTCACATTGATTAGTCCCTCATGGATTTCACGATTGTTTTTCTGGGTTTTTTGCAATCAAAATGATAGATTATATGATAATATGAAGTATTTCTAAATTAGAAATACTTCCTTGCAATATTTGTGGTTATGTTATGACGTTAAATGTGACTTAATTACTCGCCAAATCAATCACGGACTGTAACTTGAGTTCAAGTAAGGTCGGGGCATCAGTGGAGTAAAAGTATGAAACAGTGCCCCCTGAAGGTGGGAGTTAGCATCACTTAAACCCAAATTTTTGACCATTTTTTGCTAAACAATTTGCAATAAATTCACAATTATACATTAGCAGGGATTTTTTTTATTTAGCGTAAATTTCCACAGCTGTGGAATCATGAAAAACTAGAGGGACAGATTGATGTAACTTGATGGTGCATAAAAAGCCAGATTTGGCCCCCGAGTTTGACACATGCTCTAGAAACAGAAAAAAACCATGAACAGAGATGTTGCAAGATGTATGACATTTAGAGAAATGTGCTGGTTGTCTTCATTTTTATCTATATGCTGCTCTCTGGTGCTGATGGATGCTTTTCCAAACATGATCAACCTGATTTCAGTTTCCTTTGTCAGTTTTTTCATAGATTAAAGAGAAAAAAGGCTTCTGTGAGCCGAGGTAGCGTTACATTCGTCTACAAAATCTAATTTAACTGCAGAATTCAGAAAGGAAATGTAAATAATTCAGCAGGAATACATCTGAGAACTGAAAAGACACAGGTCAAAATGCGTTTTTCTACTTTTTGCAGTAGACTACAGCTCCATAAGCCACCACTCCTACGACGGCCACTAGCGCAGCGCCTCCAAACAGAAGCTCGGAGGAGCTCAGAGATTTGGTCTTAGGTGCAGCGGCTGCTTTAACTGAATGTTCTCCATCATCCTGAAGGGGAATCTGTGAGAATTTAGCTTCTGGACTCTCTTCTGTTTGAAGCTCTGGAGCCTTCGGCGACAGGATGGATGGAGGGTGGAGGCCCAGCGTGGAATATTGCTCCTCCACTTCGGAGGCTGTGGTTGAAGGGACCGGTGTGGTTGTCGTGGAGGGGGGATCCAGTTTGAGAATGGGCAGCAGAGGCAGCGCCATCGGGGGAACAACGTGCCTGAACTCTGCATGAGGCTCCTCCGCAGACACCAGCAGCTCCTTCGCCTCCGGAGTTTGGAGGTCCGGCTCCGCCAGCTCCCTCTCCACACTGAGCATGCTCAGAATGCTTGCCTGCAGCTCCTCGTCCTCGTCCCTCCATCTCCTCCCCTCGGTCTCCTCCAGCATCTCCGCCTCCTCCCGCTCCAGGTGCACCATGTCGGAGTTGGAGGAGTGGTTCTCGTCTCCGGCTAAAACGGGCCCGTCATTGCTGTCGAGGCTCTTGCTGTCCTCAGGGTCCATGTCGCCCATCGTGGACCAGGACTCTGCCAGCAGACTCTCACTGTGCCAGGGTCCAGAGGTCTCTGCCTGGGTCAGAGGCAGAGAGGCCGGACTGCCGCCTCCATCCCCCTTGCTTGGCTCGACTGGGACCTTTCCCTCCAGAATGAAGGCTGGTTGCTGCAGACAAGCACAGATCAGAGGTGAGACGATTACTTTCAGAAGCATTCAAACTGGGGACGGAAACAATTAATCCACTTAATTGACAATTAATGGCTGATTAGGTAAAAGTTAGTTCAATTCGATTAACTTAGACTTTAGACTTTCTTTCAGTGTTGTAATTTGGCCGCCGTCCAGCAGAGGGCGCCACTGGTCATCCTTAGCAATTGATACAAAATTAAATATGGCGGCCAAACCAAAACAGAAAAGATGAACGGTCCAAACAGAGTCTGGTGTGGTATGTAAAATGCACTTTATGCAGTTTTGTTTAGCAAGATAAACACTCGACAAACTCCTTAAGTTGTTTTAAAATAGAAATACTCGACAATCTCCTTAATTTATCACATTAACAACGCTCATTCAGAAACTGCATGACGTCGCTGCGTCAACTTCTCATTCAAAAATTACTGACGTGCTAAGAAGGCGAGGAAAATATTCCAGAAAATCGATATATTTATTGGAATATAATCAAGAAAAATTGTAACACGATGGTAAATTTTAAAAAACAACAACATGCTAATAAGCTAGGTTTATTTTGAAGACTGTTGTGAGTTATTGAACTTTTTTGAGCGAGGTTTTAACGTTCATTAAAAAATAACCAGAGACGGTACTTATTTAAACGTCTATTTTTTAAATATTACATAAATTCGTCCACCATATTATGAAAAACGTATCTCTTTATGTTATTTAAAGACATACAAGAAAAAAATTCTGTTTTAAGAAAATGGCTTCTTATTAGTTAATTGTTAGTTGGTCGATAAAACCAGTCAACTTTTTAACTAATTAATCAATAACTTGCATCCCTAATTCAAACCCGATTAAACTTGGTTCAGATCCAAGCATATTCTTGTGTTAGAATGGCCTAGTCCAAGGGTCTGCAACCTTTACAACCAAAAGACTTCTGTTAGAGCCACAAATGCCACTTTTTTTAGCCAAAAGACAACCAATAATTTTAGATATATGTCTTTTGTAAAAAAAAAAAAAAAAAAAAGTGTCATTTTTAAGGAACCATCATTTTACTTCTGTTTTTAGGATTTCAAAAAAATAAAAATAAAAAAATAAACGTATAATGTTGCAAAGAGCATGGACTATTTTTTTCTGTTGGATGAAAAATGATGTAAGAAAAATAAAAAATCACAGATTCCAACCTTATGACAAGAAAATAGATCTTAAGACAAATGGATCTTTTAGTGTTATTCTTTTAGTGTGGAAATTAAACACAAGTAAAAAAAAAAAAAAACTAGAAAAAAACTACTAAAAATCCATTTATTATTATATCTGTGTGTATAATTTTTAACCAAACGTAAGAGCCATTAAAGTCCAAAGAGCCACTTGTTGCTCCGGAGCTGCATGTTGCAGACTTATGGCCTATTCAAAGTAGAGACCTGGACCTAAATGAAAATCTGTCACAACACTTAAAAAATTATACTTCCAGTATAACTGGGCTTGTGTAAAAGTGATAAATACCCATCATGCACAGCACAGATTTCAGATTTTTAATGATGGAAAAACTTTCTTCACAGTTACTTTTCGGTTGTTGTTTTTTTGCTATAAATCGAAGTTTGTGGTTTTAATGTGACAAAGCGTGAATATTCTTTTGTAAACATTGTGTGTTTTTATAAAGGCGCCAAAGTTATCCAGTTTTTCCAGACAAAGTTAATCGCATGTGATTGTTGTCTGCGTTCTCGTTGACATCAGCCTCTGGAAAAAATTGCTCGCTTGCTCCTCTGTGTTGCTATCTTTAGCCTTGCATATCTTACTATGTTTAGGTGCCATATACATGTCTGTCTGTCAATCAAAAATGGAAGCGCTGCAGCTTGGGAAATAGTGATATAACGCCAATTCAACAGATTTAAAGTACTGACTTAGCTTTCACATGTAGTCTGAAAACGTAGCTTTTTATTCGTGGGTATAAAATCAAACATGTCGTCTTTTCATGAATTCTTTTGAGACGTTCCTTTAGGTCACACCTTGACCTTCTTGTGTCACCACTTTGATTACGGTAACTCGTCCCCTTCATGCCAGTCCCAGAATAGATATTTGTAACGCTCTCTGGTCACTCTATAATATTGTATCATATTCACTGCTAGTCTTCAGAGCCCTGTCTGGTTTTAATTTCACTTTTCTAAAACATCACATTAAATTAAACTGAAGTGGCATAACCCCAGACAGACTAAATAAAACTGATACTTAGTTCAGTTGAAGCTGAATTGAATTAAGGATTGAGCTTTGATACAGTTTGTTTCAGTTTAATTTACGTCTTAATATGTAGGTGCTGTGTACGTTGACTCAGTTCATACTGAACTGAATCAATCTGATTCAGTTCAAACTTCATCCTAAATTAAAATAAATTCAGTTCAAGCTGAATTGATTTAAATGAAAATAAATCAATTCAGCTCAGTTAAACTGAGCTGAATTGAACTTTAGTTGAAGATAATTGAGTTGAACTCAGGCACATTTAATTAGGCTTCAGTTTTATTTAGCTACAATAGGATTCAGTCCAACTCAATTCATATTGAGCTAAAACAAATTAATTCAAACTGCAGTTTGACTGCATTTAAACTGAACTGTTCAGTAAGTTAAAAATGTAATTTAGTTTGAATCCATTTGTTTGAACAGACATTTATTTGAATTAAATGAATTTAATCAAATGTATGTAGAATTAAAGTAACATTGGTTGAAATTAAAACAAAACTGAATTGAGTACAAGTAACATTCAAGGTTAAATAAAAAATGATGAATTACAGCTGAATTCAGTTGGAATAAAGTTTGAACTGAATGGGATCTGAAACTTTTTGAATATATAAATCTGTTGTCTCGATTTTTTTTATTTTCTTTATTAACTCATATTCACATGTTTGAAATAAATAATCAGAATTTTAATTAAATGTCTGTTTTAATTCAGTTTGACGTTTTAATGCACTATATTTATGCAAATGGGCTAAAATGAAGTAAATCAAATTTACATGAGCTAATCAGAACTGATTAGCTCATGTTCATGATTAGTTCAGCTCACAGAAGCTGAACTAAACTTAACTGACTGGACTTCAGACAACAATTAGATTAAAATATTTATGATTCTTGTAAATTTAAAAAAAAAAATTGTTTGCCAAGTTACCCATTTCTACAAAACAGTTTGGTGCTAAAATATTTAATTTTTACTTTCAAAGCTGGTCTGTTTCCCACCTTGTGTATTTGTATAAAAATGTGAAATAAATACTGACATACTGAAATAACCTCTAACATGCTGATATATACCCTAAATTTCCATAAAATGTCCAAAATTTTAAATATATAAAAATTCTCTGTACTAATTTTCCAATATTTCATTGTCTAAATATTTTGTTTTTCATAAATATTTATTTTAATATGTAGCAGTGATGTGGACTTGTTGCTCTTTCTAAACAACAACAATACGATTTAAAGTCTCAAATTTAAAATTATGAAGGTTTTTGAAGTAAATGTCCAAAAGGAATATTTTTGCTGCATTTTCTTTGAGCACAAACGATATTTCATTCTTATTGTCTCAAAGGGAAACAATTTTCTGTCCTCCAACAGCGTTTTATTGTTTTTATTAAGCTTTCTGAGACTTTAATACATGAATTAGTTAGACCTTGAAGATCAAAGAGCATATGTGTTTTATTTAATTCAAGAAAGTTTATTGTGCCTTTACTTGTAATTATGACTTTAAGCAGGAAATTTAACTGTAAGGGTTTTCAGTCCTGCAGGTCTGTGCAGACTGTAGCAGCAACTGGCCTGATCTAAACAGCAAAGTTAGTCAGAAAACAAGCCTCGTCCACGTCGACCAGCTCAGAAACGGACCTTTATTTACTGTCCCACATGGGAATGTGGTTTCCAACTGGTCCTTTACATCAACAGCAGATTACGAGGGGTTAAATAATGAGATTTAGGCCGAGCTTTCCATGCTAACATGCAGCCAACACAGGTTGGAGAAGGTCAGCTTTCAATGTCAAGAGAAAAAAAATTTCCTTTTTGCTTCACGTTTTTGTTGAACCTTGGCTGCAAACATGATAATCCTCCAAAACAAACGTCAGCTTAACTCTGGACAGAATAAGTCATCAATATTTAATGCAACTCAAACAGGATTTATAAGAAAAGCAGGAGTACCTCTGTCCTCTGTGGAAGAGTTGCTAGATGAGGAGCAGGTCAGATTGTGACGTGCATTCAGAGACAAAGCCACAGGTCAGCAGATCGGCAGAAATGCATTCTGGTGCTGGGAAGGGAATAACAAGGTGGACAAGCTGTCCACAAGTGTCTCTCCCTCTCTCTCACCCACCCACCTCACAAATCCATGACATAACAGTTGGCAGCAGAGGAGTCAATCGTGACTTTGCTGATCATCCCAACTGAGAAAGTTTGGACAGTAATCAGTGAAAATGTAGTTTAAAAAAAGACTCTTAAAGTTTAATCCAAGTTTAACCTTTGTGTTTTGTGGCCTGTAAAGAGGTCAGCAGATCTCTGTGCTTCACTCAGGTAAACAGTCTCTGGAGTTTTACGCTTTCTGTCCAAACAGATTAGAGAGCACAGCAGGTGCTGGTGACACTGTGACATGAGCGGAAAATGCATGTCAGACACAGAGAAGAGCTATTTCTAAAGCTAAAGTTTCCAGCTTCTAGCTCCCCCTGCTGGCAGCAGGGGGAAAAAACAAAACCTCAGGAGTGCCATGATGATTTTGTCTTGCAGATTTTTAGTTTTATAATTTTCTAAGACAACCTTCTCTGTTTCTCTTCTTCTGTAAAACAATCTGTCTTCGGACAGATTCACCACATTTAATCATATCTTTACATCCTAAGTTTATATCCGTCCTTTGTTTTTATAACCCTTTGCTGTGAACTTCCTCCTTGTTTGCAACTTCCTCTGTTTATGCTCAATGAAGTAACTGTGCACGAAATAATACAAAGCCTGGGAATGTGTAGGTGAAATAATTACTGCAGTTTAATTTGGATATTTTCCAAATATCAAGCAAGTTCAAATAAAACAAATGAAATAAAACTTCAGTCTTGAATGACTTGGAGATAAATTCATTGAGTTCAGCTTCTCACACCTGTATCTATAGTCACCTCCCTGTTAAAAATTAAACAATTTTTTTGTTTGATTACATTTTAATCAATTCAAAACTGATTAATTATTCAGTAAAAGATTGTGGTTATCTACAAGGTCATATGTAAACCTTTGCTTAATAACACAATCTTATAAAATACTGCTGTTACTCAGGTATTAAAATGCTAGATAAATAAGCTTTTATACAGAGTAAAATTATGGGCTTAATTTGTTTAATGTTCTTTTTTTTTTTTTACAGAAAATGTATAAATCTACAGGTTTTAACCCACAAATAATTGTTACATGCAAGATAATATTATATTCATTTTTATGATAGCAAAATAGGAGTGATTTGAAGCTACAAACATAAACTGTGAAACCTTGTCATTATTTATTTACATGGAGCACATGCATAGAATAATGGCGTTAAATCATTTTAAATGGTTTGTTCAAAAATCTAGAGAGATCTTTTTTATTCAAATGATCTTTGTGCTACATCCTTTCAGTCATAATTTTAACTTTCAAAATCCCTATTATGAGTCCAATATTTATGTCATTGTCACCTATAAATCTCACTCTCATCAAGATCACTTTAAAAGTGAAAATATTTTTTTCTTTCATATGCATTACTTTTGTACTTAATTATTAGTACTTTGACTATTTTATTTTATTTTATTTTATTTTATTTTATTTTATTTTATTTTATTTTATTTTATTTTATTTTATTTTATTTTATTTCCGCCTGTCCGTTCCTCTCCGGTCCGGCAGGGGGCGGTAATGCGCCTCTGAGCCAGTTGCTCCTTCTGGTCAGAACCAACCGTCAGGTGACTCCTGCTTGTCAGCTGATCTGCTGTGGACATCTTTTCGAGTCACGACTGCGGAGATTAATTCAAACCGTCTCCTCTGTCATTCTCGGGTATATTTACACATTTTAAACCCCTCTTCTTTTAATTAAAATATAGTTATTGTTAGTAGCAGCTGCGTGTCGTCGTTTGTGTCGTTTTAAAACCGTGTTTGTGTTTGTTTTTCCCCTCCTGAAGGCCTCGGTGTACCTTAAACAGCCGTGACCATGGCGCTCAGCGATGCCGACGTTCAGAAGCAGGTAACAAAGTGTTCAAACACGCAGCTTTACTCCATAAAGCATTATATTGTAGGATTATCTTTTATGCTACTAATTTAAAAGCTACAGTAGGTAAAACCGTATTTTTATGACCTGTAATCCGTCTGGAAGAAGGATGACATTGGCAGGTTAAACCTTCTGTACTGCGTTTTTGGGGGCTCTAATAGGGCTGTTACTGGTAAGAAAACCAGTTTATGTTTGCTGTGATTTAAAGCTGAGGCCGTACAGAAGTTATTGCGGTCATATTTCCAAACGATCACATGATGAACAACACGCCAAGGCCTGATGAGGAACTTGGAGTGACTGAGGTGGAAAATAATATGAAGAAACTCCAATAACTAGCAACAGAAGAGATCTGAGCATTAAACATGGCTGCAATATCCCTCCCTCTACCTCTGTAAATGTCTAAATCATTCATCTGGTTAAAAGAAACCACATGTTATAGTGAAATATTCTTGAACACTAGCACTTGAAACTTTCTGAATGTCTGTCAGGGTTTTTCACTGGTCTTAAAATTTGTTTTTATTCATTTTATTCCCAATTCTTTACCATGGTAGTCTGTTATGCAGATTCAGTCAGTTTTATTCATATCGGAGGCAAATTTTAGTGCATAAATTTACTTCTTAAACCAACTGTTAAGAATAAAAAGAAACTTTATAATAAAACTGACAGTGTTTGCAAAATTATTCCTACACTTTACAGCAGATTTAACATGTTAATTACTAAAATTAGTAAATGAATCCCAATATTAACCCTTTAGCCAAACGTGCAAACATTTTTTAGTGTTGCAGCAGTAGCCTAAACTAAAATGGAAATGATTAAATCCAAACATTTTATTGTGTTAGAATGGCTCAGTCAAAGTACAGACCAAAATTCAAATTACATTCTGTTGCAAGACTTCCACCCAATCAGAGCTTAAGCTACTTTTCAAAGAATGGTCGAGAATTAAAGTCTTTACATTTTGCAAAGCTGGTGGAGACACATGTAGGTGTAACTTCTGCTAACCAGGTTTTGCAGACGATAACCCCGGGCTCTGGAGTTGCAGTTCTTTGAATACTTGACAAAGCTAAAATTATTTTAGAGGATTATACATATTCAGAAAGTTTGCTGTAGCTGAGTTGTATTTGAAAGTAATAGTAACTAAAAAAAAAAAAAAAAGTCTTAGAAAATAGACTTAGACTTTTCTGCTTTGACCTGCAACCAAATGATCTAAAACATTTCTTACTGATGTGGCAAATATCATCAGAGATGTTACTTTACAAATAAATGGAGAAATAATGTTGAAAGTCAGAGAGAGTATATCTACCAACAGAACTGATGCATGTCATTTACACATTAGTTACACATTAAAAATGAAGGGAAAGAAATCTGTTCTGCACAAAATTATGGATTTGTTCAAATAACCTTGCATTTGGACATGATTACAAATATCGTAAATATGCTTCAGATTAGCAGGAATGTTTTTGTAAACAAATTATGTTGTGAGTCTAAGTTTTTGGCTAAATAAATGGTGATATATATTCTGTTGTGGAAAGTGATTTTTTTTCACTTCTGTGTTTTTTCCCCCACAGATTAAACATATGATGGCCTTCATAGAGCAGGAGGCCAATGAGAAGGCAGAGGAAATTGATGCAAAGGTATAAACACACAGTCATTATCACACACTGATAATTTCGTTAATATTATTGTTGCTTCAAATAAATATTTCTCATTCTGTGCTCAGATAATATTCTGAATCAGAGTTATTAGGTCTGAGATGTCACATGGTGCCTTCAGGGTATTTTTTATTGTGAAATCAGGAAATCCATCTGCTTTGCTTCTGTTGGTCTGTAATTCAGACAGGAAATGATTGAAAACACATCTGCTCTTTGCTTAAGGCTTCTTTTTTTTTGCATGAGCTTTACTTTCAGTAAATAATTTGTTGAACTAATGTCTATTAAGCAAAATTGGTTATTTACTAAAGCTGCTAGTAATAGTATAAAAACAGCTGGAACCCAGAGAGTGAAAATATGAGGATCGTCACGTTTCAATCCATTTAGTCCTTCAATGGGTGAAACTCACCACTAGGGCCACTAGGGGGTGCTAAAAGATGCAAATTGGAGCATCAGAAACGCCATAACATTTGCATTTTTTTAAGCCTTAAGTTGATATTTATATTATTTGCATATAATTTTTGGTTTAAATGATTATTTGAATAGAAGTAACCTAAATAGCTGTGAGGTGAAGTGGATCCAGACAATAATTTTAGGTGTAGAAAACACCCTCACCTTCAAGTTTTAACTTTTTTATTTTTTTGAGAAAACAGAATAACTAAAATACATTTGTGAGTTCTTTTATCTTTCTCACAAAATGATAATATGCTAGTTTTATTCATCATTATTGTTTTTATTATTACTACTGATAGTGTAGTCATTAAATATGTTTTACGAAAAATATTCTGTATTTTAACTTATTTAAAAATTTCCTCATAACAATTTTTAAGTTGTTGATTAAAAATTAAAAACAAGTTTACAAAATTAAACCCAAAGAAATCATAACATTCCTCAGTTTTCTGTGTCGTCTGGAAATGTGTCATGCAAATCTGAATAAGGATGGAAAAAGAGAATGGAAAATAGAAAAATGCTTTTATTTTCAGACTTTGTTAGGTATGTACTTTAATTAAATGTTTCCATTGTATTTGTGTATTCATGAATTAATACACAACATAAATTCAGGTTTGTCTTTAATATTTGGACTGAAAAAGGAAAGGAAAGGATCTCTACACCACAAACTGATCTCTTAAGAAATAAACCTTTCAGTACATGAGCTGAAGTGTTTTAAATCCAGCCAGAATAACCCAGTGTGTCCCTGCAGGCAGAGGAGGAGTTCAACATTGAGAAGGGCCGTCTGGTCCAAACCCAGCGGCTGAAGATCATGGAGTACTACGAGAAGAAAGAGAAGCAGATTGAGCAGCAGAAGAAGATGTAAGTCCTGGCGGGACACCAAATCCTTTTATTTCTCACTTCAGGAACAAAGAAGCAGCTGTGTGCGCAGCAGTGTTTCTATAATTGTGTCCCAGCTCTTCACCCTGTGGTTCCCTCTAACCAACCCGCCTCCTTACCGTCTGCATGGATAAATATAGATCCATTTAGCAATCTAAGCAGCTCCAATGTGTCTGTTATTTGTCCAACAGTCAAATGTCAAACCTGATGAACCAGGCTCGACTGAAGGTGCTGAAGGCCCGCGACGATATGATCTCAGTAAGCCTTGTCACACGCACAGCAGTGAGACACGCAGGTTGAGTGGAAATGACAACAAATATGATCCATGTTTGTCCTGTCAGGATATGCTGAATGAAGCTCGCCAGCGGCTTGCTAACATCGCTAAAGATCCAGCTCGGTACCCAGCTCTGTTGGACGGTTTGATTCTGCAGGTTTGTTCACGTTTTATACCTGATTTTTAATATTTACCATAGGAAATACATCACATTTAATCAAATAGATTAAAATAATCCAATAGATTCTATTGGTTTCATAAAGAAGACACAGTGATCTGCTGGGTATTAGCCTATGTATTAGATTAACTGGGAACTTCCTTGAAATTGCCAACAAACAACTTAATTGTATTATTCTGTACAGTGATCATATGGTGCCTTATCTTTTGTGGTGTACAGTTTTTCTCAGATTGGCTCTGCAGTTATCTATGTTTAAAGTTTTCCCATTTAGATCATGTGAGTCTAATTAGCTTGTGGTGTTCTAGGTTAGAAACAATTAGCCACAGCATCTCTTTCTAAAAAAAAGACCTATTGTTTCAGTGAACAACCTGTAGGTTTCTCTATAGAAATCACTTCACTCAGCTAGATCAGTTTTAGATTGGTGTGTTAGTTATGCTCCTAACTGTTACATAAAACTTAACTAAATTAAATTAGTCAGATTATAGAGTTCAGAGTAAGGTTGTGTAATATGGATGTAGAAATGCATCGCTGTACTTAGTGATAATGATAAAAAGGATAAATAAAAGAAAATTAATACGTTTTTTAAATGCAAAATTAAAATTTTTCACGTTTTTTACTCCAAATGCTTTTAAAAACAGCCAAAGCACTTAAAAAAAACACCCAGCTGTTTTTTGGCAATAATTTAATGTTTTTTGGTGTCTGAAAAAGTGAGATGGTTCCAAAATCTCCAAAATGTAACGTCATAAATCAGCAGGCACTGTCCCTCACCTAGCAACCCCATGCCTAGGCCGTTACCTAGCAACATCAGCAGAGTTCTGCTCGTCACCTAGCAACCTAAGCTGAGTTGCAGCTCATTTATTAATACACTCGTGGACAAAATAGTAAAAAGAACTTTTCTGATAACACTGTTAATTTTGTTTTTTATTTAAGATCATTAATTGAAATTTATGGGACAACGATAAATCAAAATTCTTACCATGGTAAGAAACTTTGTACGATAAATGATAAATTCCCACCACAAGTTCAGAGGATTTTAGACGTTCCTCTGACTTCAGTTCTAGACTTAAGCAAATCTGACCTAAAATATGAAGACATTAAAGCATGTATTTCTTTTTATAATCTCTCATATCAGGGTTTCTATCAGCTGCTGGAGCCCAAAGTGACGATCCGCTGTCGTAAACAGGACGTTCAGTTGGTACAGGTGAGAAAATGGTGTCAAGGTCTTAAGGTTTGCACTGTAAAAACAAAATCTTTCCAAGTATTTTTTGTCTATTTTCTAATGCAAATATCTTTAAATAAGACAAAACTTACTTACAAGTAACTTTTCAGCAGGATACAAGAGCTTCTTTTAAGTTCCACTGGCAGATTATTTCACTTATAACATAGTAAAAATGTTGTTATATTCTAATGGAAGTAGCACTTTTTTATCAGTATTAACGAATTTACGCCTGCATTTTGCTGAAAAGTTGCTTTATTTTTTTTGCCTAATTTCAAATGAGATATTTACTCTAGACACTATAAGGAGAAATACTTTACAAGATTTTATGTTTTTTCTAAAATATGCAAACCTCTAAATGAAGAACTTGTGTGTTTTTAAGGCGTCCATCCAGAAGAACATCTCCATCTATAAAGCAGCTGTGAAGAACAACCTGGAGGTCCGGATTGACCAGGACAACTTCCTCTCTCCAGATGTGTAAGCTGAAACATGGATCAGATTATTCTCCTGCAGAATAATCTGCAGGAGAAGATTATTCTCCTGCAGATGTTTCAATCTGTCCTGGTTTCTGCAGCTCTGGAGGTGTTGAGATCTATAACGGCAACGGAAAAATCAAAGTTTCCAACACCCTGGAGAGCAGACTGGACCTAATGGCTCAGCAGGTAAAAAATATACACAACTCGTATGTTTACATCTGTTTTTCCCCTCTAGATTTTTGTTGTTCTGTATATTGTTGGTTTCTATAAAGCCATTAGATACTTATGTTGTAAAATGTCTTTTTCTTGTGTGGTAGTGGAGTTTTTATCGCTTTGTTTTGGTTGTGTGCTGATCAAATAATACCAATAATTTGTTTTGGCTTGACAACTTTTCATACACTTGTTGATTTTTGATTGTAGAATTTAAGGAGATAAATTAAGTGTTTGGTTTTTGAAGGTTTAATTTTTTAAAAATCTTGTTTTTGTTTTTTTCGCCAATGCACTCCTTGGATTTCCATAGTTTAAAGCCGCCATCTTGTTTGACAGGGATGATTTACAGCTTCTAATTTATTTGGCCTTTGAATTCCTTTGAACCTTTGTTCTCATTAAAACAGGTTTTAATGAGAACCTTTGTTCTCATTAAAACAATTCTTTTCTCATAATTTTAAGACATTTTTTCTGTTAAAATTGTCTCTTTACTAGAGTACAAGCACAATTTTACCAGAAGATATTTTGACTATATTCTCTTCTCACACAAGGGATGATTGAGATAAAAGCCGCTTAAAACCATATTTTCAGTCATTTTTATCAATTTTTTAGAAAACAATAATTGAGAAACAAAACTGATTAAAATTGGACCTGGTTTGAAGAAATGTGAATGCTCAAGCAGCTCTAGTAGACTGATATCCAGTCATCTTTGTTTGTCTTGCTGATGATTTTATGATTTCTAAAACTTTGCAGATGATGCCTGAGATCCGAGTGGCTCTCTTCGGCGCCAACCCGAACCGCAAGTTTTTGGACTGAGATCCTTCGTTGTGCTCGAGACAAAAAGCTCCTTTTTATTTTCTACATGTCATATGGGAGATATCATTCCTTTGTCTGTGAAGCCAAATTGCTGATGCACAAAAGACGTGTTGTTGTTTGTGTGGTGTATTGCTGTTTATCTCCTGACGGGGGCGCTCTGCTAACTGCAGGGATGGCTAGCTCTCGGTGGTCTGAGTTTACGGATTGAATGTTTTATCAGGTTGTCCTCTAATTGGATCAGTCTTCATGACAAAAACAGCTTCTGTGTCGCAGTTTCTGCTCGTTTTCTAAACCTGTCAGCACATTAAAAGGCTGCATGGGGCTTTGTGTGGCTAATGGGTGTCTGCTCCAACCAATCACAGACAAATAAATGGTATCCTAGGAACAAAAACACCATCCATGACCTTACTGAGTTAATTTATTGATGTTACACCAAGTGTACGTTCTTCTTTGTCTGAGAAGTGACCGATATCATTCCAGAAGCTGCACTGTTTGTATATGAGGTTTCCAGATTAAATTATGTTTGTGTGCTCATTATTTTTTTTTTTTTTGTTTGTGATCGTGTCCAACTGAAAATGTTAAACTGAGTAAATGTAAAAACAACATAAAGATATCTAAATGATCGGTGCTTCCTGTGTGCTCCTCTTTTTGACTCATCCTGCCCATTCATGCCTCCTTCATTAGTTTATCACATGGCATTGGTCAGACAAAAATGCTCCAATTATCCGGCCGCTCCGAGGATTTCGCTGACATGCTCGGCCGCTGCAGTTTGTCTCCGCGAAAACAAGCCGAGCGTTTTGGTCGGGCGGATCTGAGCTGTAAGTAGCTGCTTTTTTCCTTCAAGAGCTTTAAAATAAAACTAGAGATGTTTCTAATTTGTAATCTGAGATTTTAGACATGTTTTATTCTTGGTAAACTGTTAAATTTATGTTTTCAGAACTTGATTTTACTAGGCGATTATGTGGTCTCCTTATTCTTTAGTATCCCCTTTTAGGTTCCACCAATCTTGTTTACTAATCTTCCTGGGATCCAATCTGTTCTGTAACTGTAATTTTAAATTATCTTTTTTAGTTTTTTTATCTCTACATACCAAATCAAGTTTCTTTTTATTTTTCTGACATTTTTAATTTTAAAATGAGAGATCTTTTTAATTACTTATTTGTAATTGTACTTTATTGTTTTTGAGATTTTGAATACTATGCTAAACTTAATATTTTTTATTTAATATATTTGACACATTTTTGTCAAAGGCAAACAATTGTAAATAAACAGCTGTAACATCAAATATACATATGTTAATGTACTAACAGGTAGTTCATAAAAGTGAGTTTTAAGTATTTTTTTTAATTATTAATTTATATATAAATATTTAAATTCATTTTTCACCCTTTAATTGTTTTTAAATCGCACTATTTTTCAAATATTTTATAAATTATTTCTGAATAAAAAAACATTTTTACTCATGTTTTATTACATTTATCAGATTGTCTGTTCAAAGGCTGTTGCAAGGACTGACGCAATTAATCGTGATTAATTGCTTATTGAAATGAGCATTAACTAGTTTAGTAATCTATTAATCATAAATTGAAATATGCACTAAAACATGCCATTTGTTAGAAAAAACAAAATTGTGCAAAAAATATAGATACATTTTTCATCTTAGACAAAAAAACCTTCTTTGTAATTGTTTTATCCAGAATCCATCATAGTTTTAACTTCACCTTGTTCAAATTCTGTGAAAATATTTAAGAAAAATCTCCTATTATGCACTTTTTGCTGGATTGGTTAATTTAAAAAAATTGTAAATAAGTCCTGCACTGTACTGATGTACCAAGGTTTTTGAATGGGCTTCCTAACCAGGCGCTCCAAAGCGTCCGGTGTTATGCCCAGGTGTTATTCTTTAAATGTATTTAAAGAATAACTTCAGCGAATAATTGTGTGAGATCCCAGCGTGGAGCAAGTAACTCCAATCAGACCAATCAGATTTGCTGCGGCACATCAATATAAAATAAATACAGAGTTGAATGGCTTCAATAATTACGCATTTAATATATCCAATTCATATTATTATTACTTCACTCTTACTTATATTTTACTTTTGATTCCACAGTCATATTTTGTTTTTCTACCTCATGTTTCAGAAATGGAACAATCGTGTAAATGTTTTTATCTGAAAAATGTTATTTTTTGAATGTGAGGTAAAACATTCATTCATCATTCATCCATTTTTACCCTTATCCCCCTGTGAGTATCCCCCCGAACAGGTGCCCTCACAGAGGGTAACGTTTCGGACGAAACATTACTCCGAATCGTTCGCCAGTTGAACATCGGGGGCGACAGGGTTAACGCCCCTGAGCAGGTCGCCAGCCCTGTCAGAGGGGGAACATATAGACAGACAACCATGCATGCACATTCACACCTAAGGAGAATTTAGAGGGACCCCAATTAACCTGACAGTCATGTTTTTGGACTGTGGGTGGAAACCCACGCATGCACAGGGAGAACATGCAAATACTTTTAAGTCTTATAATAATTACGTCATGAGGGAACACGTGACGCAGTTCGGACACTGACGTGTTTGACCCATTCCATTCTGTTCTATGTGACAACACCGCCCTCTGGTGGTCTTGTTTTATTCCTGCTA